AAGTAAAGATTAATTGTAAATATAGTTTATCACATACATCTCAAAATGTTATAAATAATAAAAAATCAAATTATTTTATAATTTTTGTAATTAAATATCTTAATACTTCAATGCTTTATTCTCATTTCCAATATATTACCCAAGGCAAACTTTATCTTAAATCTATCCTTCAATGAGCAGGTCATAGAAATTGACTACATGGACCCTTGTTGTGTAATCAATGTCAAACTATTTAATTTTGTAGTACTTTTCTATATGAATTAATATTTTAGTTTTCTTTATTAAAAAAACCTTAAGGAATGAGGGAAAAACTCATTCCTACATGCAAAATTTTAATTATGCCTCTCAGATGTGTGCTTTTAATTAATCGGTGACATTTCTTTGTTCAAATATTATAGTCTTACACAACTGTCATAAACTTATAAATTTTAATTAAGGCTTCTCCAAACCCTAGTTATATAGTGTCCACATAGGAATTTGCCAAAAGGCTTAACTATAAGTAAACCAACAATGAATAAATCCATGACTTGCCCAATGGGATTTGTTTAACAAATTAACATTTGTGTGGAGATAATAAGATTCTACACTCTATAATACCAGATCATGTTCTATAAAACCACATTTTTAAAATGCTTTGTAAATGACTTATTTAAATATTATATTATTATTAATTATTAGGTATAAGACAATAAACTATAATAACATAACTCACGTTGAATTCAGATGATGCCATTTATATTACTAATTTGAAATATAATTTTTTCTGAACATATCCTCTCTATGTGAGCCAAAATCTAATAATCTGGGTGCATAGGTAAAGTTGATATAGATTTTAAGAATGTAGCAGAGTCTGGACAAATCATTTGAAAACATTAAAAGTTGTGCTGTATCCATATATAATTCAGGATGCATTTATAGGATGGAAAATGCAATGCTTCATAGAGATTTGTCCCTGTTGTTCTGTTGCAGGTTAAATAGTAGGCATAGATTGGAGTGACAAACTCTTTAATTGGCTTAAATATTTCCATGGATAAATATAAGAAAGTCATCTGGTTGTATGGTAGGTAGACAGGCATGAGGAGAGTAGGAGCAATAGGCCAGGTACCAGGAAGGCCCCAAGTGCCTAGCAATGGGAAAACAAGGCCCTCACACCCAAGGTGACCTTTCCTACCTGGTTGTCACTGGTCATGAGGTTTAGACCCCCTGGCCTTTCATATCACTGGTCATGTAGTCCAGAACCTCCCCTGACCTTTCCTCCCCTAGCATGTTGCTAGTCATGGGGTAGATTCTTTTAGAGGAGGAACAAATGGCTGAAAGAATAGCTTCATCTGACTCCCACACAAGCCCTGGCACAGCCATTCCCTTAAGCATCAAGCCCTGAAGACAATGAGATCTTGACCCACATCAAATAATCTTAGGAACGGAGTCTTGGGTCTGTTGATCACAGAGACAGTTTTGGTCAAACTACAGGAAACATCTAAGCCTCAGTTGTGTTTCAGCTCCAGGCCCAGAAAAGCAGCAAGGCCAGGCAGGGAGACACCATGGCTGACATCAGGACCAGCTGCAGTGACAAATGACCCTCTGCCCTAGTGAATACCAATCAGCGGAGACCATGACTCAGAAAGGACACACCTGGAAAGCTGATGAATATTTCATGAAGGTCCTCTCTTGGGACCCTCCCTAAGATCCAAAATTTTAGAGAACAGATCAAACTCTCAGGATGGAGGACTCAGCACACACACTCTCCCTTAAGCGTGTCCTTGCCTTTCTCACCCCTTTCTTTCTCCAGGGGGCACTTCTCTCTGGAGCATGCCCACAACTTTCCCCCTCTCCTTCCTCCAGGTGTGTTCCCTTGCCTTTTGTTTCCGAAGCTCCAAGGGCCTTCCTTTTGCCTCTGTAGCTTGTTTCCTAAATCTGCACAGCCAACCTGGATCACTTCTTCTACCTCTGTGATTTTCTAAATAAACTTCTGCTTGTATTTGAGTCTTAGCTCTGAATTCTTTCTTAGCCAGAACTCAAATATCGAGGTTGCAAAACTGAGGTCCATTGCCAGGAACATTCTGGTGGCATTTCACTGCTAACAGTTATAACCCAATGATTTTGTTATTATAATAAGAAAAATTAAGTTAACAATAAAATAATAAAATCCCTAAAACTCATTTACAAAAGAAAATATTTTTTTTTTCTGAAGGAAATGGTATCTATGTTACTAAAATAAGATCACAGGTCATATCCTTTCATGGCACATTTATTGGACTTTTATTTTTATATTCAATGAAGGTTCCAGTACTACAATTTCTCCTGCAGCAATAGAATATACTCTACTCTATGGATTAACTTTCCTTACGCAGAATGAAAATATGTAATCAAGATCCTAGTGTCTTTTTTACTTCAATCAATCTGCTGAATATTATTTTTCAGAATTCAGTTAAGCAGTTATAATAACTTAGTTATCAATTAATCACCTATCAAAAATATTTATAGACATAAAACTATCAAACTTAAAGAAATAGTAATGCTTTTACTATAAGAATACAAAACAGAAACAGCTTAGTTCTTCTAAATTCCATTGAAAAAAATTTCTAATGTGACTCTTTCAGTTAGCATTATGCTAAATACTTCAAAGAATAGCAGAATTCTTTGAAGCAGTGAGAACAGAAGCAGTGAGAACTCCCAGCAAGATGGAAATTAACCATGTAGGGGATGTAAAGATCATATGGATTAATTTTCCATTTGACTAAAGAAATTAGCATTTATGTAGTAGAGTAAAATGTGCATAGGTTGCTCTCATAGTTGCATTATATCCTTTGTACCAAATACTGTGATCTGCAAGTTATAATTTTATTATGCATTGGGGTTAATTTATTCCCATGGGAACATATTTTAAACATAATACAAGTCAGTAAAAGATAAGTTTTAATGTTCACTTATATGTTTTAGAAACCACTGTGCAAATTTAACTATTGTATAAGTTAATAAGAATCTCAAGTATATCCTAATTCAGGGGTCCTCAAACTACAGCCCATGGGCCACATGCAAATACAAATATTGTATTTGTTTCTGTTTTGTTTTTTTACTTCAAAATAAGATATGTGCAGTGTGCATAGGAATTTGTTCATAGTTTTTTAAAACTATAGTCTGGCCCTCCAACGGTCTGAGGGACAGTGAACTGTTTAAAAAGTTTGAGAACCCCTGTCCTAATTCATGGTAAACTGATATTTTCAAAGCAGATTATACACTACATGTCAACTGAGTAATTATTTTATTTATTTCATTTTACTATATTTTATTATTTTATATGTTTTGTTAAATCTCACCCAAGCATATTTTTTCCATTAACTTTTGGACAGGATAGAAGGGAGGGGGAGAGACAAAGATAGAGAACCATCGATGTGAGAGAGACACATTGATTGGTTGCCCCCCACCTCACCCTGACTGGGGATGGAGCCTGCAAAGGAGGTATTTACCCTTGACTGGAATTGAACCTGGGACCCTTTAGTCCATAGGCTGATACTCCAACTACTAAACCAAACAGGCTAGGGCAAGGGTAGTTATGATTTTAGATGGGAACTACAATGCCATCAGATGTGCTGATATCATATATTTATACTAATTATTTTTTATTCTTTTAAGATTGGATGAATGTTTTGGTTAGTGTGTGTAGTAGCATTTGTACAATGACTATGCTTCAGCCTAAGGTTTGGTTTGAGTTCTGTATGAAAGTTAAGTTTGTGGTAGAGTTACTGGGGAGACTTGAAATTAGTCTTGCTATGAAGTTAACATAGGGTTAGCATTAAGGTTCTTAAGCAGTCACTTGCAAAGGGACTTCAACACTGTATCATTTAATGAGTGCAAGTATTTTATGAATAGTTTATAAAAGAGATACTTGCAAGCTACATTTGCCATCATGCTGCCCCAGTAAATGGCATATTGTAACTAGTAACCCGGTGCATGGATTTGTGCACATTGAAAGGAAATTAATTAGAAGGTGGCTGGTGGGACGGGGCGAGACAGGCCAGATATGCCCTGGAGTCAACCTCTCTTGTCCCCTCCCCAGTTGGTCGCACCTGAGATGGCGTCGTGGCTCGAAGGGCATCTGCAGTGAGCAGGGTCCCTCTGGCAGGTGGGGTCCCTTGGCCTAGCCTGTGGTGATCGGGCCAAAAACAGCTCTCTGACATCCCCCAAGGGGTCCCAGAGTGTGAGAGGGCACTCTGCAAAGTTGCTGTTGTTCAGGGTGTGGAACGCAAATGCAAGTGTGCAGTAAACCAGATTTGGGACCCACAGTGCCTCAGCAACAACATAACCCATGGCCGAAGGTGGAGTTATGTAGGAATCAGGCTCCCTCCTCTCTGGTTTCTGGATGCATCACCTGAGAACTGCCGCTGCCATGTCACTGAATCTGGGCAGCTCCTGCATTGAGCATCTGTCCCCTGGTGGTCAGTGCACTCATAGTGACTGGTCAGATGGCCAGGCACTTAGCGTATTAGCCTTTTATATATATAGATGATACTTTAAAGGAGCTACCAGCATTCCACACACTATCTTTAGCAAAGTATTCTTTCAAGTAGTGAAACACATTTGAACTAATATATTTACATTTAAAATGGACCTAATTTTCAATATCAAATGATTCTTAGCATTAGGCAAACTGTTCAATTAAGAACAAACAGATATTCAAGTCAAAGATATAAGGCTTATAAAACTGGTTTCACTTCATCATTCTAAGCCTGATGAGTCAGAATCTGTGACCACTGGATCTGGCACGTGGCACACTCAACACCTGGTCATGTCATTACTATTGTTAAGTTAGATGCCTTGAACCTTGAAATACTAAATTTAGAACAAATGTCATTGATTATGTTAAATTACTTATTCCACTTAATTTGTGTTAATGTATTCTTTATTAAGGTACCAGAAATGATATTGTAACATTATTTTCTTTTTCATGTTTACAGAACATTGCAAGTGATTTGAATAGACAATGAAACTCAAATATTTACCCAGAGCGGATGGTATACAAGTTCCTCCATTTTGACAGTAGTTGCTACAGTGGTTTACTTCACATCTGTCTCCTGAATAACTAGGCCAGCAGTGACACCTCAAATCACCCTTCTCATTTAAAATGCATCTTCCTCCATTTTCACAAGTCAATTTGCATGAATCATCTGGTCATAAAAAGAAATGTATGAATTAGCATGCCATTTAGTGGATAGTAGAATAAAAATATTTTTAGAAAATAAAAAATACTAGGATTTGCTTTATTAAAAATTCCAAAAATAAACACTCATAATATAAAAGGAGAAATAAAATTATCCGAAAACAGAGAAATAAATTTCAAGCATTATTGAATGGTGAATACAAATGTTGAATTAAATTTTATTTTTCTATATGCTTAAAACATTATTAGACATTTCTTATAGTTGTTAAAACAGTAAGTACTAAAACCAACTGAGACTTTCTAAAAATAAAATATTGTCCAACCAATAAGTATTTTTTATAATGTGGATAATCATAGACCATTTTTTAGAAGTGTTTAATTTCAAACCAAACTGAAATATGTAAACTGTATGTAAACATATATCTTTACATATAGAATAAATGTATTATATATATATATATATATAATAAGTATATTATATACATAGACATACAATTTATAGTATAGGGGAATTTTAAAATAAAAATATACTCTTTGATGTACATACTTATTAACTATATATATAAATATTCCAAACCAAAAGTCACTTAGATTTGGTAGTGGTAGGCAAACTGTGGCTCGGCAAACCGCGGCTCACGAGCCACATGAGGCTCTTTGGCCCCTTGAGTGTGGCTATTCCACAAAATACGGGTTCTTCCACAAAATGCTGCCGCAGTTTGCCAACCACAGGTATAAGATGATAATAGAACAGTGTAGAAACATTTCCATGTGTACAATTTCCATATTTAAAATAATTAGGCACAATTTGTCTATTCCATATAGTTTGGCTGAGAATGAGAAAGGATGGTCATTACTTGGAATAGGAAAATTATTTCTTAAAAATATGATGTCTGATTAATAAAAAAGATTGGCTTGAAATCATTTTTCAGGTAATTTATCTATATGTGTTCACATATCCCTGCTCCGTTAGAAATACTGCTTTACTTAAAGCAAGACACAATGTCCAATGAAACAGAAATGATTGACAATATTGTGAGAGGCATTTCATTCTAGAATATGCCTTCTATTAAAGTCATGCCTATTTTATAGTTAAGACTAGAGGCCCAGTGCATGGATTAATGCACTGGTGGGGTCCCTCAGCCTGGCTTGCACCCTCTCACAATCTGGTACCTATCGGGGGATGTTGGACTGCCGATTTTGGCCCAATGCCTACAGGCCAGGCCGAGGGACCCCTACGGTGCAAGAATCCGTGCACCAGGACTCTAGTAAGCATATGAAATCTTTGGTTAATCTCTTCCCGTCCTACCCCCTCCTCCCTTCCCTTTGAGATTCATCAGTCTGTTCCATGTTTCCATGTCTGTGCATTAAGCATCTGCCCCCTGGTGGTCAGTGTGCATCATAGCTACAGGTTGAATGGTCAGACAGTTGAACAGTCAAATGGTCATTTAGGCATATATATATATGCCCGGTGCACCGGGCCTCTAGTGTCTTAAATATAAGAGATCACATTATTTGTATTTTTTAAAGTTTTTGCTCTTTAATATTTATCAACATTGGAAATTATGTTTCAATTTATTTTAACATTTGTTTCAACCTCTAGCTTCTAAATTATTAACTTCATGAGTACAGATATCTTGGAGGTTTTGTTTCTGAATTAGTCGTTGGTTTCTAAATTAGTGTTATGCGTTGCTCATAACTCTCAAAACATTTGTTAATGGTAATGGTAATATTTATTGTTAATCAAATTTTACACAGAGGAAACTCAGACTCTTTATAAATTAATCACCAGTTTCTAAATTAGTATTGGCACACAGAAGTTGTTCAATATAAACTTGTTGAATGACTAAATGTATTTGGGGGTTGAGTTGCTCAGAAACATGATCTTCACTGATATACGAGCTATATAAAAATACATTTTGATCTGTGTGTGACTTCAAAGTTCTTAACCTACTCTTACATGCACAGTAAGTGCTCAGTGCAGCTTTGTGAATAAATGTAAAGTGAATTAATAGAAACTTATCATCAGAAGAACAGTTTATGGAGGTATTCAAGAAGCAATGCTATTAAGGTAAGTACATTGATGACTGAGTAGCTAGTTCTGCTCAGTGTCTATAGCTGTAAAAATGTGTCATACAGATGAATTCATTATTTACTGATATAATGAAGTTTACCTACCTAACAGGCTGTCATCATTGCAGGTGCCATTAATCAAATATTTTCCTTCCGGGCACACACAGGTGGCCCCAGAAGGATTCAGCAAACAGAGAAATTCACATGCTAATTCCAAGCAAGGATTGGGTACTGGTGAAAAGAAAACAAAGAAATGCATGACTATAAATACAATAGGTTTCAAGAACATGAAATTCAATAGGTGAAATGATGGAATTAGCAATCACATCAACTTTCTGCTGGAATTATCTCATTTCAATCTTACTGGTCACCTTAATAGGGGGACAGATGTTACTAACCTTAGAACTATATATGTCAGATGACTGGTAAAGAGCAGCAAAACTTGAGATAGAATTCTAGGAAGTTTTTAGGGGACTATATGCTGTTTTAATTGTTTCCATCACTGATTTGGATAAATATCTTTGTTACCTTTCCAGATCATTGCACAAAATGAGATTAAATCCCTTTCTATTTGCCATAAAGATTAAAAATAAATAAATCTTAAACATTCTCTTGAAGCATGAACTCATACATAGAAAGGAGTCATTGGATTTTCAGCCACATTTTTACTCTGGTTGTCAATATTTTTGATAGTTGTGTTCAAAATATACCTTTCAAGATAATAGCATCCCTTATTTTCCAATTCCCATCTGGGAGGGAAAGTAACAATAGGAGTCATGAACAATCAGAGAAAACAGCCCTGGTAAAGAGCTCTCCCCAGATACATCTAAGGTTGGCATGTTAGAGATATAATTGTGACTTGGGTATCAGTAAGAAAAAGTTAAACTGACTAATGATGAATTTTCTACACTTGTCTACAGACTCAGAAGATTTTATTAAGATATGAAAATAAATGACACATAAAAAAACAATGTCGAATTGAATAATAAGAAAACGTAGCAAATCCTGACATTTTCATATTTGTTATGACAAACAAAAAATTTTGTATTACTTATATCTTGATTTTGGTAATTTAAAGTCTGGTGATAACAAAATTAAAGTTATTTAAGTTACTGGGGTTAAGACATTGATATAATGAAGGCAGTTTAAAAAATATTTTCTTTTGAGAGTGACAAGAAAGAAAATTCACCAATATAGACAATTGTATAAAATATTATACTTACAGTCTAGTTGTTTATAGCGATGAGATATTAAAACACCTTTTGTTTTACCAACATCTAGAGCTAGGTACTCTACTGAACCATGGCCAAATTTTTGTACTCGAAATACACCGTTTTTAGGTCCTGCTCCATATATATAATCTTCAAAGACATCAATCCTATGTGGATGTAGCAAGCCTAGAATTTTTAAAAGCTGGAGTTATAAAAGTTGCAATGTGAATTCTCAAACTTAAGAAAACTAAGTTTATCCAAAATCTTATAGAAAATCGTATTATTCTTGTTTAGAAAAACTCTTTCAGAACTAAAATATTTTAAACATTATCTGTAAGGTTATTAGAATTAATTTATTTGCCTTAGGGATATGTGTGATACTAAATATGTCACTCAGAACATAATAAACATTTTCATCATCACTTTTATCATTGTCACCACCACAAAGCATTTGCTTAGGGCTTATATGCAGTGTAATTTTCCCTGCCTTAAAATTTGCTGTCAAAAGAAAAGCCTTATAGGCCAATGTTATCTTTTGCGAAAAACAGGCAGTTCATACAATTCTCAAATTGTGTTCTGGATCAAAATAGGTTACCTGCGTTACAAATTTATCAAGCAATTCTGAGTTGATTCTTGCCATTTGCAACAGCATGGATGGAACTGGAGAGAATTATGCTAAGTGAAATAAGCCAGTCAGAGAAAGATAAATATCACGTGATCTCACTCATTTGTGGAATATAATGAACAATATAAACTGATGAACAAAAACAGATCCAGAGACAGAGAAGCAGCAATCAGACCGTCAAACCTCAGAGGGAAGGTTGGGGAGGGTGAGGGTAAGGGGAAGAGATCAACCAAAGGACTTGTATGCATGCATAGAAGCCCAACCAATGGACACAGACACCAGGGAGGATGAGGGCATGAGTGGGGGGGTGGAGGGACAATGGGGGATTAAGGACACATATGTAATACCTTAATCAATAAAGAAAAAAACTATATATAATAAATTTAAAAAACAAAGAGTAAAATCCAAAAACAATTTTGATGTTACTATTGTCTGTTTTGGAAACAAAGTAAAAAAAAAAATAAACAAACAAAAACAAACAAACTGGCAAATGGTAATTACACATTTGACTTTTTGGCTAAAAATAATAGAGACCATCGTTTTTCTCATGTTAAGAAATGACTTATTTAATTGCAAAAAGAATAATTAGTCAAACATTTGGTGCTGAAATTTAAAGCAAGTAAAGTAGGTTTACAGTTATTTCTATGAAAAATAATACAATAGTTAACAAATAATAAAAGAATAAACTATGTTCTGTATATTTATAGTTATAAACCTACTTTTGCCCACTCTGTATTTCACCTATTATCTAGAGTTTGTAGAACATAAAATGTGTTTGAAACATATATTTTTTCAATGTTCTTTGAAATATTAAAATGCACACTTAAGCTGAAACATTTCTTATTTCAGAAATGTAGAATTATATTTGTCCATCCATGGTCACCATACAAAAACACATACTTGGGCAAAGGCATGATAAAAGTTCAATTTAATTATTTTTCTTTCAACATCTCTTCTTTTTTTTTTTTAAATATATTTTATTGATTTTTCACAGAGAGGAAGGGAGAGAGATAGAGAGTTGGAAACATCGATGAGAGAGAAACATCAATCAGCTGCCTCCTGCACATCTCCCACTGGGGATGTGCCCGCAACCCAGGTACATGCCCTTGACCGGAATCGAACCCGGGACCCCCCTGTCCGCAGGCCGACGCTCTATCCACTAAGCCAAACCGGTTTCGGCCTCTGCTTTTTTTTTTAAGGAGCAAAACTCCTTTAAATTTGTTCATTAAATAAAATATGTACATATAAAAATGTCAAGTATATTATGAACAATCTGTGGTAAGTAAAGGGAGAGGTTGTGGTAGGAAAACAAAAAGAAATTAGATTCATAGAAAGAAGTGAAGCTGCCAGGCACAGGAGTCAGATAGTGAGAGAGAGAAAAATAGGAGTCAGGCACAGAGGTGGAGGCGAAACGGGTGCCGCACAGGAAGTGCACAAGTAGGCACTGAGGTCACTAGGGGTGGAGGTAGGTTGTAATTTTTACACACTACTTTTGCTTTGCATAAAAGTATAACTATAAATTACGTATAATAATAATAATAATAATAATTTTATCATCATATTTTGTTATATGCAGTAACTTCTTTTCTGCTTGTTATCACTGCAATTTGAAATAAAAATTAGTTTTCACAGATGCCAATCTTTACTACTTGAAATGTTCTGCTTAGAATGAGATATCCTCAGCAGCAACGAAATTATTATTTTCTGAATCTAGGTAGTGATGGACCAGTTTTGTCCTGGAGTCAAGAAGTTTTTGTGGTTTGGCATCTTTGTTACTCTAGTAGGAATGAAAATTATAATCAATAGTAAGAGCTACAAGTTGAAAGAAGAATTTGAGGAAATCCAAAATACAAAGCTCTCATACTTATATTTACATTCCATTATTTAATTCTCTCAAAATAATTACAAGAAATCATGAAAGCACTTGGCAAACCTTGTCTGCTGCTGACGGAGACCACGGAGTCGGAGCCGTCATACAGAACGCTGCCAATGAGGGAGAGCTCAAGGTCAGCCCAGTAGATCCGCTCGCTGAAATGATCCACAGCCAGCCCTGAAAAGCCAACACGCACAGGCAAATAACACATACATTCATATTATTTAAATTACGTTTTTGCTTCTTAATGTATAATTATTATTGATGTTTCTCTGCAAACATCACAGAAATTACATATGCATAGATTACATGGAATTTATTTAATAAGCTGGAGCAAAAATCTTATTTCACATAGGAAAACCTACCCGAAGTATCCTTCCTTTCCACACTTAACTGACTGTTATGGTTAATTTTTTAAAATATTTTTTATTGACTTCAGAGAGGAAGGGAGAGGGAGAGAGAGCTAGAAACATCAATGATGAGAGAAAATCATTGATCGGCTGCCTCCTGTAAGCCCTACACTGGGGATCGAGCCTGAAACCCCGGCAGATGCCCTGACCGGGAACCAAAGAGTGACCTCCTGGTTCATAGAGCGATGCTCAGCCACTGAGTCTTGCTAGCTGGACTGTTATGGCTATTTTCTAAAGGGCTTTTCCATAATATTAGTTTTTATCTTGCATATATCATAATTTAAATAGCTTATCTAGCTTTAAAAATAACTCAATATAATTAGTTATATTTTGATCTCTTGAGGTAAATTTCTCAGTACATAAAAGTTTTATGAGCTAAATTTAAGATATTTTCACCCATTTGGAGCTGGCCTACAGTGGTGTGAGACATCTGTGTGTAAGCAGATATTTAAATAGACTAAAGGTTGATGCTTAAGTGGAAAAGGTTGTGCTTATTTTTTCCTCTTTAATCATGACTTTACTCTGAGATGACTTGTCTTCAGTTTTACCATCAGTATCTGTTAGTGAATAACAATGCACTAAAATAATCTGTGGTAAAAAAAAAAATGCTTTTCTATTCATTTAATTTAAATTTTATAATGTCATTAAAGCCAGCCATTATCTTGCAAAAAATATCATCAACACATAGAATATCTTAAGTAATGTTCCTTCAATATAGAAGAGAAAGATCTATAATACCTGCATTCTATAGTAAATTTTCACTGCTGTATTTAATTTTTGTGATACAACTAGTGTTTAGATATGAGGAAGGGCACACCCTGACAGTACAGTGGAAGCAAAATACCTTTGGCATCTGCATGTTAAAGAGCTTTTCCAATCAGAATATTCAATAAGCAATCGAGGTATACTCAATGGCAGGGCCACTAAATGAAAGTGTTTTTGAATCTGTGCTAATTGTATTCCTGTGTAGATGACTCAACATTTAACAATCAGAGTAAATAAAAAATCATGGTGAACGTTATTTGGGAATAATTCTTCAATTAAGTAGGTAGGTTGAGCCCAAATGTAATCAAACTAAACATAAATATTGTTCCTGAAGCAGGACATAAGGATGGTGTATGTCCAATCAACCTCTAGAAATAACTTCATAATTAAAACAATGAAGTTACTGATGGTCCACTATTTACTAGTTTCTGCCTGATGATTAACTTGCTGTTTGAAGTCATGTTGGGAACTATGTTTTTGCTTTTGCAACTATAATTATGAGGAACATGAACCATAAAAAGATCCAGTTTCCTGCTGCCACCATTATACTTTAAAGTTGTCTAAGAAGGCAGTTCCAGGTGAG